AGCTGCGTGCCAGTAACTCCCTCCTTGTAATAAACTGAACGAACAAACGAACACGGATATTCAGTGTTTGTTTGTTCATCTGATTTTTCTATTCATTCATTCATTCAGCTTTCTGACAAATGAACGAATAGATGAAATTCCTGTTCGCATGCCCAAGTGTTTCACTTGGCATGTGTGGGAATCTCAGTCTATCTATCTAGTGTGGGCAGATGACGTGTCCCCCAGGGACTTCCTCTACCCACACAAAGATGACGGCGTCCTGAATATAGATCGGGGCAGAAAATAAAGAATAAAAAATAGGTAATATGGGGGTTTAGGGGCATTTGGGGGTGACTAGGGGGTCAGCTAGATGTAGTGGAGTCGGGTTAAAAAAAAACCCTGGATTCGGCCATGACAGTGCCGCTTTAAACCTGTTATGTGCTTCTTTGAACTATATCACAATATATTTTAAACTGCTCTAACAAAATCATCAGTTAGAAATACAAACATGGTTATTTTTGTTAGAACCTTTCTTAATGACATGCGAAGTCTAAGAGTATGTTTAATTTATCTGCATTATTTCTTAGTTTGTCAATTAATGAAATAATAATTACTATAATTCACAGTCATCTCAATGCACTTTATAGAGCTCCAGATTATTTGACATGTACTTCATTTGCAGCTCAGATGCTGCTTTTCCCTTTATCCCATGCTCTGTGATGTACTTTTAACCTTTCTTCATCATCGTACGTGAATTGGCAACACTTGTGTAAAACAGGAACTAAAATGAATATTTCTCTGAATTAATGATTTTTGTTCTAAGTTTGTTACAAAATTCCAATCAGATAAATATTGCATTCTTATACCCATATGTCTTATCTATAGAAGTTTGTAATTAATTTTAAAATGCTAATAGCCTCTGCATCCGAGTTCCTTAATTGATTCTCATTTGGAGGGATTATAGTCTCTAGTGAGCACTTGGGCTGAGAAATGGAGTGTGTGGCTTTGGTTTCTCCTCAGTTATCGCTACAGATGAAATCACTATACACAGTGGACCTCTCTAGTATACAAAGAAAAGCGAGACCGCGTCAATGGCAGGGAGATTGGTAGATTGTGTTTTAATGCCACTTGTGTCCTCTTTTACATTTGATTTGAGAATTCGAGGAAAGTGCTTAAAAATATTCATAATTATATATTCATAGATCATTTTAATTCCAATGCAAATTAAATATATATTGTTGTATTAAGTTCGTTTAATGTGTTATTATATACTTATTTTTATTTAACGTATAATTTCCATTTTATCATATGCTTATTTTGATTTAGTGTATATATTCCTTTTTCTTTTGTTGATCAAAACTTAGTTTTTGAATGCATAACCAAGGTATCACTGTTAATGTTGACAGGTATGTTTTCCATTGCCTTATATATTATTTGGTTGTGTGTAGTGGGCTTTTAATTGTTAATGGGGATGTACAAAATTACTAAAAATGTAAATAAAACAGAGTTGTGCACGGAAATAAAATTGTTTGCTTTGTTTTGATTAATTTTGTAATTTCCATTTGTCCAAAATTCTGAAACTATTGATTTGGATAAGCAAAATTTGTCTGAAAAATGTGATAATTTTCAATGCTCAGTATACCCTATGGGAAATCAATAAATGTGGCAGTCACATTGTTACAAAGTACCATTTTAGAGAATTATCTGCTAAAAGATCAAAATTAGGAAAAAAACATTTCTCTCTTTCAGCTATTTAGTAAATAACTCCTTAACTTCCTATACTTACGGAGATTGCCATGATTAAGCATACAAATGAAGGGAGCTATCTGCTAACCCTCTAATTTGGTGTCTTTAAATAATGCCAGTCATGACAAATACAATTTAATGTTACATGATAGAAAACCAAATTTTGTATATACATTGTGCTAGCAAATAACTATTTGTCTCTAAATTCGGAGGTTTAAAACCAACCCACTCTCCTCCCTCCTCTTTCTCATGGTCTCTTTTTGCCTTATTTCCCATGAACAGATGTGTGAGAACTTGTTTTGGTGGCAGACTACTCTAGTACAGCTTTTTCATACCACGAACATACCCTCTAAAAGCTGCTGGTGACTATGTGGCTTTCACATGTAATGGGCATACCGAATCATAATTTGTAATTCCTAACTGGCAGGAGACGAGGGATTTGTTGGCGGCTGTCTTCCAGAGGCCCATTTGAGTTGGACCTGCAGTTGTTCCTTCTCTCATGCTCCCTTGAGGGTTTTTCATTACGGGTCCAGGAGCTTTTTAATAAGATCATGTTGGCTTCAAAAAGGGCTTTGAAGGCTTCCTGGCAGGGAACTGTTACCCCCTCTATTGGAAAAGTCTGAGGTAAAATACATGAGAATCACTTAATGGATTACTTAACTGCAATAGTCCTTAATACTCGTCCCTCCTTTTATAAGGTTTGAACCACCTAGCAGGATTATACTTCCTCTGACTGTTTTTTTTTTTTTAACTTCTGGTCTGTTTTTCATCTTATTGCTGTATCATCATGATAGTATACTCCATGTATTCCTATTTTTCCTTCTGGTCTGTTTTTCTTTTTATGTAAAATTTTACGAACTTGAAAATTGTAGGAGTATATTGATAATTTATTTTATATCAGTGTTTGGTGGTGGTGTGAAATCAATGGGCATTGATTCATACATCTTCAATGCCCCTTTCCCCACCATTTACCTTATGACCATCACTAGATTGAAAAAAAAAAATATTCCAAGTAGCTTGGCACTCTGCAAAGTATTGAAAGTATTTGCATTTAGTACATAAGAAATGGGAATAGTGTGGCCATTAGTATACAAGAGTAAGTAGTGAATGATCTTCAAAAATGGACAAAATACACCGACCACACAGACCGAAGAACAACCGCCGACAGCGCAATTCACCATCTGGAAACCCCAGACCAGAGTGTCTCCAAGCATGTGGACCAGGGATGATCCAGGCTGGAGGGGAACAGTACTCTGGCACTGCACTATGACGCTAACAGGAACTCTCAAAGATGTTCCCCATCCTTGTCACTTATGGGGATAAGCTGAAGCAGAGACCAGATCCATCGTATGAGCAATGTCACATATTTGACTTGCAATATTAGCAATAGGGCTGGTTCTTTTCCTGCTCTCTTCTGGTGCTATCTTCTTTATCATCTTCATTACTTCCTTTACTTTGATCTTGGAATGTGCAGTAATCTACTCTTGTATATCAACTCAGCAGAAACCATATAGGCTAGTTTAGCTTATGTAATTCTTTGTACATGTTTTCTCAATGCCTTCTCTTACCTCACATACTCCATGTCTGCAATGGCTCTTTTGTTCGGATCTTACATGCTCCTTTACCTCATAGACATGTTCACTCACTTATGCCTTTTATTATAAAATTGTGCAATGATATCGAATGCCATATAAAGTTAGACAGTCGTATATTTCTGAACTCAATATATGTGTGCATTTCTCTGTCAATCGATACTCATGCATTGCCGTTGCGGCTCTGCAGGAGATTTCTGTATACTTACGCACAACAAAAATAAAGAATTATAAAAAAAAAAAAATGGACAAAATAATGGTTAATCCACATCAGTAAAGCTTTATTTTGAATGGGTGCTGCGGGAATGGGTGAGGTTAATAAGATGGAAATGTCCAGCAAATGTTTCCCATAATGACAGTACATGAAGGGGATGTGAGAGAAAAGAAAGGATGCTAATGTAAACCAGACATTTATGAAGGGAGTTGAGTCCCAGCCAAATATATGGTAATCCAGGACAACCCTTCTCTTTATGCCTGAAGGACATACAATTGCTGAATCTGGATCATGTGAGCGGCATGGTAATAGCGTAGAAAGTACACAAGTTCAAGTCCTCAAGATATAATGGAAACATATACAGCTTTGTGGCAAACACAAGGCATCTGCCAGCACCAGATAAAGTGATCTATTTTCAGTCAGAAACTTGTAAGAGAGATAGGAAGGGGTTTGGAAAAGAAAAATGAATTTTTGCAGAAGAATTATTTTTGACCATAATGATTTATCCTATCTAGAAGATATTGTGCTAAGATTGCAGATTTTGCAGCTCTTTAGAAACTAATCTTTGTATGTTGATCACTTTGCAAGCACTCTCACTGGAGTACAATGCTATTATATTGAACCTTGAGATTGCAAGATCTCCATCTGTATGACCATGTTGGTAAATGTCAGTGACGGAAGAATATAAGAAATATAATAGGAAAATAGAGTAGAAAAGGGGGCAAGTGGTGGGCAAATATGAAGGGGGGGGCAGTTTAGGTGTGGGTTGAGTACGGAGGGTAATAAAGGGAGTAGGTGTGGAACGCACAAGATTTTCCACCAAAGGAACAATACTTAAATGCCTACCCAGAGACATGCTGGTCATAATGTCAGCCAGTAAAAATGTCATTGAGGTCTGTTTTTTAAGAGGATTGATCAGTGCAACCACATAGATGTAAACCTTTGCTGGTTCCCATATGCCATAAAAATGAACTCCTCAATAGCGTGGATCTCCTCAACCCTCCCAATCTATTCCCTAATGGTGTGTGATAATATTCCATATTAATTAAGAATGATCACTATTGAGCAAATCAAACTATTATAGATAGTCAAGATGGCGCCGGTACACAGTACTGAAAATGTTAACTACAAAACACAGCACCAGAATGACTCATGCATAGCTTCATGAGAATATTATGAGAACAGAGCTAGCTTTTTAGATAGTTATGAGAACAGAGATATTAACCGCACAGATCTGGCATGGCATTGTTGTGGGACTGAAAGTCTGGCCAGCTGCAGGTCCCATCCAACGCTTTTGCAAGGTATTTGCTGGACTGCACTGATAAGATTTGGTAAAAAAGTACAGACTATTGGGGGGCGTGGCCGGCCGCCGAGCAACCTGGCAGCCTAGGAAATTGCTCCGGCACCCGGGCTCTAAGAATCCGCCAACATCGACTCCCAGGGCTCAGAAAACCCTCGAAATACATGAGATGACGAACCCCAAAGGGAAGAAGAGCACGCAGAGAGCTGAAAAAATAAACTTTTTCACCCACAAAAACGCGGGTAGCTCCGAAACTGATCGCGGCACAATCCAAGATGGCGCCGACGAACAAACGGTGGGAAACATCCCACTCACGGGCGCATCTCAGGACAGCCATGAAAACCTAACTAAAGCATACCTGGATGAAGCGATGAACGCCATGGCTAACAAGCTCATACAAACATGGCAATCCTCCATAGGACAACTCAGCAAGGAAGTCCAAGACATTGGCAACCGAACCACACACGTGGAAAATAAGCTGAGCGAGTATGCAACAGCGCACAACGACATGGCCGATCATATGACGCGGCTGGAACAAAAAATTGAAATAATGGAGGCACGAATGGCTGATGCTGAAGATCGCTCGCGGAGAAATAACCTCAGGCTACGAGGAGTTCCCGAAAGCATCATGCCTAATGACCTACAAGCCTATGTGCAAGGCCTCTTGAGGGCGTACGCTCTGGACATCCCCACGGATATGTTCCTGATAGATCGAGTGCACAGGGTGCCCAAACCACGCAATCTGCCGGACACTGTCCCTCGAGATGTCCTACTGAGGGCACACTACTACCACATAAAGGAGGCAGTATTGCGTGCCAGCAGGAACCGCACAGAGCCGCATGAGACCTATACAACGATCAAGATCCTAGCAGACCTGTCCGCGGCGACTCTCAAGCGCAGGAGAGACTTCCAACCGGTGACAGAAGAATTGCGTCGCGCTGGAATAAGATACCGTTGGGGATACCCCACTAAACTACTAATTACTAAAAACGGCGAGCTCAACATTGCTTCTACACCGGACGAAGGCGCCCGAGTATTGAAAGCCTGGGGGCTCCTCAAAAACCCCTCCACGACTCAAGCAAGTCCAACAAGACGTCTGACACCAGAATGGCGCCAAGCCTCAACGAGGAACAAGTCACCATGATCCACCCGAGGAACTAGGCCGTCCAGGCCATAACCAAGGACACGTGAGATACTAATATATACATATTGCAAACTTTTATCATAAATTTAGTTTCAATTTTGTGAGGTTAACTGCTTTGATTTGCATGTTATCTACCACATAACTAAATCACATTCTGCATGGTTTGTTTGATGCAGGCGGGTGGGGCGCCCCCATGAGGGACGACCCGGGTAATCTTCAGGCAAAAAGGAGGGGCGGCATGGCACAGGTAAAGATGGGACCGGCTATTAGAGGTGATCCCGATATTTCAGTGTTAACTAAAAGGCTGACGCTACGCATACACAATAATGGTATTTCAAGAATGCACAAAGGTGCTAAATGATTATGTGAACTATCAGGACAATGTATATAGAAAGAGATTTGTATACCATACCACATAAGTAATTCTTGTTTTAACTAGTGCGCCAAGCTCACTGCAACCATGCCACCCCACCTCACTACATAGCTTGGTACAAAAAACCCCACAAACTGAACTAGGAGAAATGCATCCTATCACAAAAATTGACATGACAAGTGGGATATCCACAGTGGTAAACTGCGCATTGCCCTACTACACCTTCCCCTGGGCCAAGCCTGACCTTCACACATGCGCACACCTGCCAGCATGAAGACACCATGCACACTACCTTAGTTGCTATTGACTTAAAGCTCTGAGGAGAGACAACAACTATGTACTCAAGAGAGCCCAACGGCCACAACACTAGAGATGCTGCTCCAGCGTTCCTCCCCCATGGCACAACGCCACAGTGCCAAGACCCACGTTTGGGTCAAAATGTATATACTTTGGTTTTTGTTACCCCTTCCCCCTACCATTCCTGAATCCCTCACTCCCGGGCACAAAAATGCAGTCGCACAAGCACCGCCCATGATGCACACCATAAGAACCCTGTTCAATCTACAATTCCATATAGGCATTGCAGAACCGCAAATGAGCACTACTTACCACCCACCCATCACATGAAAATATACTCACACAACTGCAGGGGATTGAACACCCCACATAAAAGGCGCATGATGCTGGAGGACGCCAAGCAGACTCAAGCGGACATTGTTTGTCCACAAGAGACCCATTTTGTTACCTCCAGGGTGCCTACCTTTGGCGCACAACATTACCCCCACCAATACCATGCAACCCACTCCTCCAAATTGAGAGGGGCCTCAATTCTTCTCCACTCCTCCTTAACAGTTGAGGCCCTACACCTAATCAAGGAAAAACAGGGTAGATTTGTAATACTACATTGCCTCCTAAATGACCTGCCATATATCATAGTCAGTTTCTATGCCCCTAATGTACACCAAAGCAATTTCCTACATAAGGTGCTCTCTGCACTCCCAACTAATCAGACCGCTCCAGCTATATTATGTGGAGATCTCAACCACCCACTTGATCCATACATGGACACTACACTAAAAACCACGACACCGAGACACAAAGCACTCAAAGCACAAAGCAAAGCACTCAATAAACTGCTAGGGGAATATGGCCTACACGACCCTTGGAGAGCATTCCATCCTAATGAGAAATCATTCTCGTTCTATTCAGCAGTGCACAAATCATATTCAAGAATAGATTTCATTTTCATAACAGGCACATTGCTCCCTAAAGTACAACATAGTGAACTCGGGGATATCACATGGTCAGACCATGCTCCGACCATAGTAGGGCTGACTGAGGAATACCAACACAGAGGAAGGCCACCGTGGCGGCTAAATGATTCACTTTTACGAGACCAGACATTCTCCGCAACACTATCAGAAGCCCTAACATCGTATTTCCAAATTAACGATACGCCGGATGTCCACCCAACCACTGTATGGCAAGCCCATAAGGCGGTCATCAGAGGACTCCTCATCAGCAGAGCCTCCAACCTAAAAAAGAAGGCACAACAAGAACACTTACACCTACTGCGTACCTTAAGAGACGCGACAGCGGCAAACATAGCACATCCCTCACCAAAACTAGCACAAATAATTCAAGACACCACAACAAGTATCAACAACATGGCAATTTCTAAAACAGCACACATTTTACATAAGCTGAAACAAAAAACCTACTCACAAGGCAATAAAGCAGGAAGGAATTTAGCGACCCTATTACGTCAAAAACAATCCAATGAAAAATCCCATATCTGCTCACACCCCAAGGATCTAAAATCCATAACCCACAGGATATTAACGATACCATGGCAGACTATTACCACACACTATACAACCTCAAAGATGACCCTACCCTGCACCAACCCACGCCTCAGGAAATTCAAGATTTCCTTCAAATGTTCTCGCTGCCAACACTGGCGGAACAACAGAAAACTATACTGCAAAACCCAGTCACACAAGAAGAAATACAACAAGCTATACACTCACTTCCCCATGGCAAATCACCGGGACCCGACGGACTCACAAACTCATACTACAAGACAATGACCACAATCCTGACGCCATATTTAGAAAAAGCCTTTAATCATATTCTCACGACGGGCCAAGTGCCCCAAGATATGCTCATGGCACATGTGGCCACGCTGCCGAAACCAGACAAGCCACCAAACAAATGCCAAAATCTACGACCAATCTCCCTCCTAAACACGGACATTAAATTACTGGCTAAGATTTTCTCTAACAGACTGACGAACATTATCCCAACCCTAATACATGAGGACCAGGTGGGATTTGTCAGTGGTAGGCAAGGAGCGGACGGAACCCGAAAGATCTTGGACCTCCTACAGGGGGGGCGCGGAGGGGGGGGCTCAGTGCGTTATGCTGTCACTTGATGCTGAAAAAGCCTTTGATAGATTGCACTGGCCCTTCCTCCAAGCTGTTCTGCTCAAATATGGCTTTCCAGATACTTTCCTAAAGTTAGTAGGAGCATTATACTCCAGTCCGACAGCGAAAGTTACCAATGGGGGTTTTAGTTCCAAACAATTCCACATAACCAATGGGTCACGACAGGGCTGCCCATTATCGCCTCTCCTATATATTCTTTCACTAGAACCTCTCACGCAACTCATTAGAGACAACCCAAATATACACAGTATCACGAGACAAGGCAAAGAACATAAACTCACACTCTTTGCAGACGACATCCTCTTAACGCTCGAGCAACCACACATATCCCTACCTAACTTCCACGATATACTCGCCCATTATAGCAAATGCTCCTACTATAAACTTAATGTAAATAAAACCCAAGCAATGGGTATAAACATTCCGGAGGAGGTCTTGAATAGACTGCGCACCTCCTTCAAATATGATTGGCGAAACGACCATCTAAAGTTCTTAGGAATCAATCTTACCCCAAATTTAGCAAATCTTTATAAAACAAATTATCAAAAAACACTGACTGAAATAAAAAATTCACTACTAGGATGGAAGAGCAAATTCATATCTTGGTCAGGGAGAATTGCCACAATTAAAATGATTATTGTACCTAAATTGCAATACCTGTTTAGAACATTACCCATAAAAATACCTACCACTTTTCTACAAGAGGCTCAACAAACAATACTAACTTTCATATGGGACAAACAAAAAGCACGGGTAGCGAAAAACACGCTATACATGCCACGCAAGAAAGGGGGAATGGGAGTACCCAACCTAGACAGCTACTACAGAGCGGCCATCTTAGGCCCCCTACTAGCAGCTTGCCACCGAGACCACCCAACCCAATGGATGGAACTGGAGGCGCAACATGCTAATAACATACCCATCAACATACTGGCATGGCTTCCCCAACACAGTAGGCCTACTGCGACAGAAATGCTCCCAACCACAGCCCTCACTCTGAACGTATGGGACAAGTACTGCCGCACATTGGGCTGGTCAGGCAAAATATCGCCCGCTATGCCCATTAAAACATTACACTATATGATACCCAATTTTAATTATACTATATGGCACCGACATGGAGTAACACATTTACATCAGCTGCTTCAGGAACACACGCTCAGAAGTCTTACAGACTTAACAACATGTTACAATCTGACCCCGATAGCATCCTTCCCCTACATGCAGTTGCATTCATGGCTTCGCAAGCAAACTTTGATAGGAACGGATAGTGTACAGGGGCCACAGCTGACGGTGATAGAAAAAATATGCTCACGTCTCTCAACCCCCAAAAGACTTATCTCTGAATTATACCAAACTATGCATCCCCCAAAAGACCACAAAAACCTTTCATTCATCGCCGCATGGGAGAGAGAATTCACATATGCTCTTGGCGAGAAGCAATGGAACGAGATTCTCCTTGCACACAACTCACTCTCCTAATGCGCCTCCCACGTGGAACTATCCCGGAAAATTTTATACCGGTGGTACCTCGTACCTACACGTCTAAAAGCAACCTACCCACAAGCCTCCGATACCTGTTGGAGATGCCAACAACACAAGGGCACAATGCTCCACATTTGGTGGGAATGCCCCTCTTTAACACCCTATTGGGATACCATAACCACCATTATACAAGACAGCACAAAAATGCTACTTCCCCGCAAACCAGAAACGTACCTCCTCCAACCTTTCCCTAAGAGGATGCGAGGCAGGCAAAAATACTTAATCTATCACATACTTATAGCTGCCCTAACTGTCATTAGTAGACATTGGAAATCCACTATTCCACCCCAAATATCAGAATGCATACAAGCGATAGAAACTACTAAGCTCTACGAGCTGGCAGCTAGACGCTCAAACCACTCCAAAAAAGTTTGGTCACAAGCCTGGGAAACCTGGCAAATGTACATGGAACGTAATAATATACCCTCCAATTGAGATGACGATGGCAAGGGTCTATGAACCGACAGCTGTGCCCCCTCAACAATAAAACTGTAACAAAGGGTGAAAATGTAAATAATGTAAATGTAAATAATGTAAACAATTATGGAGACAGCAAATATAATGGTAATGCCGCAACCCAAACAACACGACCGCAGGATAGATAGTTCTGCAGAAGCGACCACACGCAGCCAGCT